AAGAGTGTCTGATAAAGGAATATGGAACAAATGCACATTTAAGAACCTCCTAGAAAGAAATGAACTGAAAATTCCTCATCCAAGTCCTCTACCAGGCACTGATAAAGATTTTCCATTCGTTATTGTAGGTGATGAAGGTTTTATATTATCTGAAAATGTACTCATACCTTTTCCTAAAGAACAATGTTCTGGTAAAAGAGACAGAAGAATTTTTAACTACAGGTGAATTTCATTTTTGAAAAAAGAATATGAAAATTCCTTGAACATCCTTACAAAGATCATTTTTAAGAAAGAAAACTCAAAAAGGTACAAAAAATTTAATTTTTTTCTTTGATATGATTAGACATTCTCGTGCCAGAGGACGCTCTGAAAATGCATTTGGTGTCATGGCCAGTCGTTTTCAAATTTTTCGATCTCCAATGAGATACGATCCGGATGATGCCTGTGATATTATAATAGCTGTATGCTGTCTACATAATATGCTTCGGACTGATGTTGTTGGTCGTGCCATGTACACACCACCATCATATATAGACACAGAAGATGTGCTACGAGGAAATATTTTGCCTGGTGATTGGAGAAATGAACAAATTCAGGGTTTAGTGGGGTTTCAAAATCCAAGAGGCTACCGTCATGCTAATCACGCTTTAGCATTACGAGAAATGTGGTGTAAATATTTCAATGATGTGGGAGCGGTACCATGGCAAGACAGAGCAATTAATCATTGATTTATTTTGATTTATTATATAAAAAATTAAGAATATAGCACAAATTGTTTCCACAAAAATGTTTATTCGCACACGCAGAATCCTTTTGAATTATACAGAGTGTAACCCTGTATTATTAGATAAAATAAAACTTATTTATCACAACATAAGGTAGCGTATCAATAAATTTTCATTTCTTTATTATTAAATAAAATATTTTGTTGATAGATACTATTTTATCTTTGGATATCTATCTATACATCTATCTATATCTATTTTATATTTTAGATATGTAATACAAAAAATAAACATTTATAATAACGAACATAAAAATATTTTAAAAAACCAAATACAATTT